AAAACTTAAATTTATACTAGAAAATACGGTCCTCTCTACAAAGCAATTTAAACTTGAAATTGCGCTTCGATCGTTCGATAGAGCAATATCCGTAAAAACTAATCCCGCGTTATTGAGGACAATTCATTTCCTGTACGGGAAATAATTGAAATATGGTGGACAGGAATGTAGGTTAGTGGGCGTTTCCACTGGAGAAACATTTGTATTTAAATTTATTACCATTTCAGTTTGATGAAAACATAGACTACATATAATATGTTTTAGTGTTGTTTATATAAAATATACATAATTTAAAATACTCTCTCTTACTAATAGAAATACGAATGTTTGGGTGGATGGATGTTTGTTTGTTTGAAGATATATCCGGAACGTCAGAACGGGTTTTGATGAAATTTGGCATACATGTAGAACATAGCCTGGAAGCACACATAGGCTATTCTTTTAATTTTTTTTTAATTCTGGACGGACGAAATCGAGAGCGACAGCTAGTATATTATAAATGCGAATGTTTGGATGGATGGATAGACGTTTGTTTGAAGGTATCTCCAGAACGGCTATACGAATCTCGCTGAAATTTAGACTACTAATTAAGATTTTTTAATTCTGCGCGGGTGTACATTTTGTGACAGTTTATAAAGGAAAAAACTACTAAAATAAACCCTTTGTATAATCCATAACAAAGTGACGATAAAATTAATAAAAGCAAGGACTTTGATGGCTTTTCAGATAAGATTATACATTTATATGAAAAGCTTTTAACAAGGTTGATAAATATAAACGTCAAATCATAGTAAATATAGTGTAGCAAAGTATTAAACATGCAAAAAGCTTTGTCTAATCCTAGATTTTCGTGTGCCTAAGTTAACATCTAGATTCTTTTGAATCTGGATTACAATACATCTGGCATTGACTTGATACATTCGTTAAGTTCTCTTTTACTTTTATTAAAAATAAAAGATGCATTTGTAATTAATTAATCTGTAAAACCACTGAACTGATATTATTTTCCCTTAAAAAAACTTTGCTATCGACAATTATAATATGCGAGTTTCATAAAGAAATTTGATTTGACCTTTTCAGCATTTTATTTTTTTATTCCATTTTCGTGTGACGGAGTTTTCTTTAGGGCGTATTTACATTAGTCGTTAGAGCCCGCATTAGGCGATTGTCCTTACTACGCGTTATACTCCTTAAAATCCTCGTACGACGCTTTACCTCGGTTGTTAACCTGTATACGAGGACTCCTGTTAGGTGACGACTGATTTATCGATCAATGAAATTGCGCCCTTATATTTTTATGACTTTTTAATCTTGCTTCTTACTTTTAGACATTATTAATTAGAATCCTTTAGCGCGAATGACGTGCTTTCGTTACAAAGTCCAGTGTCAGAATGAATAGTGAGGGGACATAAACGTCGACATTTTAGTAAGGCTAGTGTTGGGTCAATACACTGCCACATTTTCGGCTTTTCTTCCTAACATTACTATCTTATCATACTTCTCACTAATATTATAAAAGTAGTAGTATAGATGGATGGATGTTTGTTTGTTTGAAGGTATCTCCGGAACGGCTGAACAGATCTCACTGGAATTTCTCATAGATGTAGAACGTAGTCTGGAAGAACAAATAGGATACTATTTTTTTAATTCCCCGTGGACGGAATGGCGGGCGACAGCTAGTTCTTTATATTTGAAAAGGTCATTAAAGATCACATAAATTGTATGCTTTCGTTTTTTATCTTGATAAAGTTGTGGTATTAAGGCAGCTCCAAGCTTACACCCAATAGATATGTACGCAACGCAAACAAGATTTGCGCATGCGTAACAAAATAAAACTCCAATATTGATAGCAGACGATATTACGCTGGAATCGTGTCGTTGACTACTCTCACATTACGACAAACTCAAAGGGATATTTAGATTTTCTAATATTGAGGATCTAAGAGGATGCATGGAAAGCGAAAATATTTTTTCTTTCTGTGCATCCTCTCCTCCGTCGACGAAAGGTAGGCAACGCATATGCAATTGCGTATGTCTATGGGCAACGGTCACTTCGCTATTTTAGCGATTTCAGGTAGCCGCTCGCTCGTTTGCCACCTTATGATATAAAAAATAAAGAATAACTTTGTTAGCTTTTACCTCAAAACACTTTAAATATTTGCCAAAAGTGATTAGTTTGAACAATACGTACTTGTAAGCTGTTTACATTGGAACAGTTTCATCTTGAGGCCCGTCTGGGTTAGACTCACGTGAACTTAATATAGCTTACTCCACTATTAAAGCAATGGTAAAGCAACCCATTGAAATGGGCAGTACTTATTTGAAAAAAATATTTGTTAAACAGCAGTCATCTGCGACTCCGTTCGCGCGGTATTAAAAAAATAAAAACCTTTTTGTTCTTCTAGGCTATCTTCTACATCTATGTCAAATTTTATTGAGATTCATACAGCCGTTCTCGAATTCTAACAAACATCCATCTATCCTAACATTCGCATTTATTATATTAGTAAGACAATGTTTACATTGAAGTTCGAATATTCTAATATCGCAAAGTTTACTCACGAAAAAAATGCTTTTCAGTAGCTTGTAAGTAATATTAATTAAAATTTAGTTGGTGTGGGTAAACAATGCTAAATAAATGGTTGCTAGGCGTTAACCAACTGGGTAAAAATCAATCAGGAACACGGGCAGGGGTAAGTCAAGGGCACGCGACGCCCAATCCTTAGGGTTGTCACCGCCGGAAACAGCCAATCCTTCAACCATAGACAAAGTACAATTGGTATAATACTTTTTTGCTTTATACTTTATAAGATTAGCTAGTCTTTTTTTTCAACATATAGAAATTGAATTACTTCTGTTTACTTAAATTAGGCATTGGATAAGAACGAGATATAGAGGCAGGATGCTAAATACCAACAAGGGTTGACTCGTGGTAGTTTTCTCGTTAGTGTTTGTTATTTTATTGAAAGTTGGCAACCCTAACTCCTAAAGGTAGCAACAGGTCAACTATAATAATACACTTACGTAACATTATGCGAAAGTTTAAATGTATGGATGGATGTTTCTTATTAATTATCTCAAGAACATCTGAACAGACCCTCCTGATTTGGCATACATGATTAAGTTTTTTTTTAATTTCGCACAGACATAATCGCGGGCAAAAGATATAATAAATAAGCAAATATAATTTAGTAGATAGAGTTGCTCACAGTTGAGTTTCAACTCAAAATAAAATACGAAATTCAACCCCACGATAATATCTTTTGCTATTTCTGTCGCCTCTGAATGGGTTTAAGATGGGTATTTTAAAAGTATGTAACTATTTCTAAGACATGTTTTTAAATCCAACCTTTGATTTTAACTGCAGAAATAGCCACAAACAAAACATTGTCATCTCAGTTTTTTTAAGGATAAGGGAAATTTAACTAATGCCAATATTTTGGATTATGCCGGCAACGGCAACTAGCTCGGATTTTTTCTCTTACAGTGATTTTTTAATTAACAGCTGTCAAATCATTAACGGCCAGTACTTGCTCCAAAAAAAAAACGAATATGCCTAAAAATAAACAGATAAAAAGTGTTATTTTGGTTTGTTCGTCTCCTACGTATTATTGAACCAATGCATAAATAGATTTTGAAGCTAATGAAAATTGGTGTACAAAAAATGACTCAATTTTAAGGGATTTCAGTTTTTTTTTTGTTTATTTACTATTTACATCGCATACAGAATTCGTTCCTTTATAGACTGCGTAGGTGTAGATTGATTTCTTATACGTAAAAAGGACAAGGTAAAACCATGCCCTTGGTTAACGGGAGTGTGTTATCAACTAATTCTGATGGAACAGCACTTAATATGTCAGATAAGAGCTAAAATGCGAAATCTTAGTACACTACATTAAACGTCCTTTATCCGTCGTCTCTAAATATAAACGTTAAATAAAAATATACACATACTTTGAAGTATCAAATATACGTATAAAAAATTAGAATTTTATTGTACATGAATATAAAAAATGTATTTTTACACGTATACATTTAATAAAATAGACTGATATCCCTATAGGAATGTTTATAAGGATCAAGAAAGAAATTGTATAATTTTTAAGTATAAGACCTAAGAACATTGTTGTAAAAATTAAAATTAGTACATTTTTGTAGGTTAGTAAATTTGCTATATTTAAATGTTGTTAATAAAATTAAGAAATTGTAAAATCAAACATTCTTTTCTGAACACATGTCTGTACTAAAATTTCATTTCTATTTTTACAACAAAGCCTCAAATATGCTGGATAAAATCACACGCATAAATAATACATTACCGTAATTCCAGGCTTCAGGTGTAACGATGGCATGGATGTGCTGAATTTTAAAAGAACTCAATACACTCAGTATCACTTCACATTGATTTTTCTATAAAATTTATTATCTTTAGTAATATTATTCCCGTGCAATAAAACGGGCGCGAAAAATCGGTACACCCCGACGTATGGCCCGATTGAATGTTTTGGTCGGGACTCGACTTGAGTCGTTTTGCTACTGTTCGCAAATGTAATGATCGATTGTGTAAATTTATTAAAACGCCATCTATCGGTGCGAAATGCAAATAATAATTAACAGTCTTTATTTCAGTAATTCCTATAAAATAACAAAATTTCTTAAAAATTACAGGAATAGATTATTGGAAAAATGTTAGAAGTCACAGTCCTATCATTTTTAAACAGGTAACTTCTTTGATTTTGATTGGCTTTTTTATTTGTATTGTTTTCGTGGATTATGAACATTTTATTCAGCTAATAAAAACATATTTTTGTGGTATCAATTAGACAAAAAATTATTTTCTATATTATACGTTTTCAAAATCTAGATAAAAGAAATCAAAACTATGGAACTTGGAAACTCCACGCCATCTAGGTGAATTCGTAGAAACTACTACAAAATAATATTACCGTTTGCACTGCGTCGTCCAATAAACTGGGGCTGCGCGAGTTTGTACACATGCGCATAGGAGGGGAGCTCAGTCAATGAAAATAGTCAGTAGATATATGTGTGTTTTTTGGTATTGTGCGTGGTACCACCGTTGGTGATACGCGAAAATCGTAATTGCGTTACCGCCTACACGCACTTTTCAAAATTTTATACGTTTTTGTGCATTTTGTGTAATCTATTGATTAAAAATGACCAACGCTCCCGTGAAAAAGGTCCCCATCCATTTGCAGGTAAGTTCACAATCCGTTATTAGTAGCGAAATTTAAAATTACATGAATATTAAATAATTAACGATCAAAACGTAATTTGCTATTAGCAAGTAGGGAAATGGCGTTTTAGCACGTTTTGCTTTATTCGTAATAATTTATGCTCACGCGAAAAATACGACCTAAATTTGGCCGGCAAAATTAGGTTGGCTGATTCTTGCGAAACAATTTACAAATAGACACGAGAGGTTCCCACGAGATCATGATTCCCAGGCGAGAATTAAGATAAAAGATCTTAAACGAACCTAACTAAATCGACAATACTTCATCATCCTGTTTTATTAACCTAGAAGTGCATAATCACTAAAAATTCGTCATACAAAAAGCAAATGTATTGACAAAATCGGAATCGAATTTAGTAAATATACAAGTACCTCATGAAATATAAAATATAGGGTAGTTATTTCTAAATTTTAAGCATCCAACTAATCTTTTAAGACAACCCTTTCGCGAATATGTAAATTTTTTGATCGTTAAACTATATTAGCAGATGCTAGGATGTAGGATACATTTTGAAGTTTTGATATTATCAAAATGGTGAACGACCTCAGAATCACGTTACAGATAATATATTCCATCAAAAGGACCAGGTTCAGTGACTGAACGTGTCATGCGCAATAGGGACTAGGATCAAAATGTCGGAACTAGGAAGACTGGGACCACGCGGGATAAAGGGCGTTGTCGCTAAATATTTGATGAAACACTAATATAGAAAACAGCTAGGTATAGATTACAACAGGCACGTTTTTAATTCAATAGAAGTAATAGAACGTTGAAGCCATATTTAAGCAGTATTATTCAAATTACAACTAAGTCTGGTCATGACATTGATGGGATCGGAAAATTTTAATCTAAAAATCCGATGGTCTTTTTATCCGCTGTCTAGTGTACAGCTTGTAATTAAAATTTTTGTTTAAAACTGAATTTAAGTTACGAGGATTTTTCTTTAACTATTTTAAAAGAAAAAGATTCTTTTATATTCTTAATGTGTTTTAGAAGATGAAATTACTTACGCTACTATAGAAACACTGACATCCCATTTGTGTCTTTGACACCATTAAATTATGCTCATGAAAGGTTTAAAAAAGTATTTTGTAATATTGATAGCTTTCAGTACGACAGAGGTTAATAGTAATGTTAATGATATTATAAATGCGAAAACTTTATGGATAGATGCATGGATGGATGTTTGTTTAAAGGTATCTCCAAAACGGCCCAACGGTTCTTTATGAAATTTTGGCACAGATGTAGAAAATAGCCTGGATGAAAACATAGGCTACTTATTAAGTTTTGTTTCAATTCCGCGCGGACGGTGTCGCGAGCTACTGCTAGTTTGTCATATAATAACAATATCACGCGGATATCCTTATATGTAGCTAAACAAAAAGGAAGTAGTTATTTTAAGAGGTTACTAAACGTTTTAAATCAATTGTTAGGGGTTACGTGAGTTAAATCAAGAGATGTGAAGAGAAAAGATAAACTCGTTTTAGTAAGTTTTCACTTTCGTAACATTTATGACAACAATATTATCATCCCTTTCATTTTCATTTAATGAATAGAGATAGAAAGAATGTTTCTAAAACATATTGTAAAATTGGATTTAGCAAAAATAAGATATTTGATTGAAATTAGAATGTGTTTTGTTATATTTTGTAAACGATTTTCTAATTCTTATACCTTATTAATAGTTACATAAAATGTCAAGGTCAAGTTGTAATAATATAGAATTGTTTCATTCCTCAATAGCTTCGTAAAATTTATAATTATTGAATTAACAGTAACCTTCACGTTTTATATTATAAATACGAATGTATGGATAGATGAATGGATGTTTGTTATAAGGTATCTCCAGAACTGCATAGATCCCGCTGAATTTTGGCATAGATGTTGAACAGTTTGAAAAATACAGGATACAAATTAAGTTTTTTTTAATTCCTCGCGAATGAAGTCGTAGGCGACAACTAGTAAGGTTACAAATGATGTCTGGTATACACCTATTTCTCCTAGATTCGATTTGGATTGCTTATAAACAGTTAAACAAGAACTCGTGTGTCGTTTGTAAACACGTTGAACGTGTATTAGCCCACGCTTCAAAACGTTTCGTAACTACGCTAGGGGCAAAACAAAACAAAAAGTGCACTTGACCACATGTCATCTTCCCCCTTTCAAAGAAACGGTTTTATCGAAGTAGCTACTGTTAGGTTTTTGAAAAAATAAAGCTTAGGTTTCTACGTAGTAGAGTAAACGAACTAACGGAGATTCATTTTGTATTTTGCCTAAGTAAATAATGAATTATGCCAATTCTCTAAAAATACCCGTCTCTTTTTGTTCACATTTCGTTGTATGACAGAGAAGAAATATATTTATTACGTATAAAATGAAACAAGATATTTTATCAGAATTTAAATCTTTTTGTTTTTATTCTTAATTTTGAGTTTAATTTTTGTTCTATTATGCGCATATTTTTAACCTTTTCATGTTGTTAACTTTATAAGCGTTTTTGTTCTGCATATTACTACAAAATAAATGATTATTCTCGTCCAATCCACAGACATTAACCGTGGGTTTCTGACTCCAAAATGTTATATTTTCATTAACTTTGATAAAAATGATATAATAATATATTTTAAACGAGGATTTTGGTATTAGAAACCCACTGTTAATCGACGCAACGGTCAAAAGTTAAAGGTCACATTTTTGTTTACATTTTTTGTACATTCGCGCACACATTTTATCACGTAACGTTTTTCATAGCTGTTATAAAACACGTTATCACTGACTGAACAATTTCCATTTGAAACCATTTTGGGAATATAGTAAGTTCTCTGATTTGTACAAGTACAGTTAATAAGATAATCAATTTAAACCTTTTTGTTTTTTTTTCTACATTCTTATTATCGTCTTATAACTAAAGAGGTTTTCTATATTTTAAATACGAGTTTTCCGAACCCCTCAGTGGAGACGTATATGATCAGCTCAGCTGATGATATATATATCTTAAATGTTAAATTAAATGGACGACGATTAGTCCAGAAAATTGCTAATCCAGGAAGACTTAAAAGGATCATTCTAAAATTGTGGTCACTTTTAATTTAATTATGCCCTTCCTTTTATTGTTCGTTATTCTTGTATTTTTTTGATTTTCTAAAATAGTTTTAAGTTAAGATGCAGGTTTTTAACGTCACTTCACCACAAACCAATCTATTCTCGCCTCCATTTAGCCTTGGGGTACTCTTCCCCTCACAAAGGGACGTAAACGATGATTTATGTTTCAGTTAAATCCAACCAGTGTTTAAAAGTTGCGGTTAAAATGATATCTTACTTTATACTATCTTACAAATATTATAAACTAAATGTCGCCTGCGACTCCGTCTGCGTGGAAATATAAAAATCTTAATATATAGATAAGTTAAATAAAAAGCAGCTCTTCAAGGCATAAATTCGAAAAAAAAAGAATAAATAGTATACTATGTCCGTCTCCTGGCTCTAAGCTACCTGCTCACCAATTTTCAACTACATCAGTAAAGCCGTTCTTGAGTTATAAATACTGTAACTAACACGACTTTCTTTTATATATTTAAGCGAATGTTTAGATGGATGGATGTTTGTTTGTTTGAAGGTAACTCTGGAACAGGTCAACGTAACTTGATGAAATTTGGCATAGATGTAGACCATAGTCTGTTAAAACACATAGGCTAATTAAGTTTTTTAATTACAGGAGAACGGAGTCGTGGGCGACTGCTAGTTGTATAATAATTATGTGAGACGATTGTCGCTAGTATTATCGTGTTGAGAACAATATAAAACTTCTTATGATTGCTTCTAATCAATTATTGCGTGCAGTACAATAGCTTTGTAACTCTACTTTCACTGATAGTCCAATAGTGTTGTGTTGTGTCGATAAAATATCGATTATCGATATCGATATTTACTAAGAGGCTAAAATTGATTGAGGGTATAGTGATGTCATTACTTATGTAAAAACGAGTAAACTTTTGTAACATAAAAATACAAGTGAAGTAATTGAAATATGTTACAATTTACTGCTGGTTTCTGAGACCAAAATCTCTGTACTAAACTAATGTTTTAAACAAAGATTTTGGTATAATAAACCCACAGTTAGTGTTTCACGTTTTTTTAAACGGGATGTAGATCATATATAATAATAAAATGGTTGGCGAGATCTGTTTAATAGTTCGGGAAATTCAAACACACATCCATTGATCTAAACATTCGTAGTTATAATATTAGTAAGATAGTACCCTACACTTGACGTTTATTAATTTGTTCTCTATTAGCATTTCCCGGACACGAAGTGTGGTGTCAACAAGGATATGTGCAACGCGACTCTATTCTATCGATAATTATCGACTTCCGGGCTCGCGTAAACTAACGGTACATCACTAGTTCCGTAACGAACTTCTGCATGCATGTGAGACGTCTAATATTTATAAAATCTTTAACCTTTCGTAGAATAACCTCTTTTCTAATTTAAAATTTACGTACCAACTAAAAAAAAAACAACAAGACCGATTGACACATAACTTCTTAATTGATCAAGACTTTAAACACAATCACAATGTAAAAGCATACATTAAAAAATATTTTTAATTTATTTAAAACATAATGCAAAATATACGTTCATAACAAAAGTATCTAATCCCATTTAATTAATTTTTAACTAACAAATGACATTATCTTTAATTAAACAGAGATAACAATATGTTTTAAACGGAGATTTTGGTCTCGGAAACCCACGGTTAGAATACTAAAGAGGACATATTAATGACATATACAATTCTGCAACATTACACAATCGTTTAGCTGATCGCTAAAACAAACTCGCTGACACACTGTCGGACTGTTAACCCACTTGTGTGTAAATATTGCTTGACACCGACAAAGATAAGATTAACCAATGTTACGGTAAGATTGTTAACATAACAATTTTATGTATTCAGAAA